CTCTCCGCTGTAATCGCTTTCGAAGATGGTCTCGCCAACCATTAGTAGAAATTATCACGGGTTTCAAATTTACAATGGCTCCAGGAGCAGCTTGTGGTGGTACTGGTTGTCCTTGAATTGATGATGTCGCAATAATCTGTCCACGCTCTGCGCGATCCCACCTGTTATTTATTGAAATCTCATGCTTTTCTTGCCGACTTTCAATGTTAAGTGAGCTAACGTTAGGCGATCGGCAGCAGCGAGTGAAGAGGTTCGATCGGCCTTCACAATAAGCACCAAACCTCTCGATCATTTCTGAAAGATCCGGTTCCTGGTCATAATCGCAAAAGTTCCATGCTTCTAATATCCGTCCCGCATCCTCACCGATGCAGTACCTGAACATCGCTAATTGATATGATCCCGGATATTCATCTAACTCGATCAGTGTAGCGAAATCCATCCATTCCGCTTGCCATGCCCTCCAGCTATCCGGTAATATGCTTGCTGTCATTTGTAGAGGATGCGGCAGTGGGATCAATGATTGTTCATCAAAGGCGAGCGGGGTTTGGTACGTCAGCACCTCTGTTACCATGTCAAGTGGCCCTCCGAGCATCAAAAAGTCAAAGTCTGGGCCTCGATCAGAAATTTATTATTCATAGAACGCAAACTCATTTCATATCTCGAGTCAATTAGAATCACTCACAGATGCAGAACAAATCTCCTTCCTATTACATTCTTGGCCAGCGTTCGAGCTTCGTTCAATGTCGATCCAAATCAATTGCATGCTATCCTTCAGTTCGCCTCTGCAGCGATCGACCAGCTTTCAGACTGTTGGCCCAAAATCGTTAAGCTCAACCGATCGCTAAGCAACGAGCATCTAAGCGCAGTATCTTACCATCACAGAGACGTGGATACGAAGCTCACTGTGTATTTGCTGAACAGTCAAAATCACACTCCCAATATAGCAGAAGCGGGAGGTGGTTTCCAATACTAAGTCACAAATGCTGATTTGCAGCACCATTGCAGATTATATCACCATGCCTTTTTTATGCGACGGATCTTTCGAGTCAGTCGCCGTCGAACTCTGCGAAACTGACTCTTCCCCAAGCCACTGGGGTCTGCCACATGTGCAGACACGAATGCGCCAATCGTCGTAATGTTCTCACCAAACTAATCCGGCCGTTTACAATTTCAAGGCCTCATTGTCTCGGCAGCAACTGTCACGTGTTCGCGAATTTGGTGCCACCGATCGCCCACACAGGCATGCTGACATCGCCTTCCCCAGCTCCATCCTATTCTCCACAGTTCCTAGGGAAAGAATGTTATATTTCCACCGGTTCACGGCAGGAGTGCAATACATAGACCTACGAAAATATTTCTAAAATTCGGTCCGCACCAACTTATGGTCAGTGCTACACTCGGCTCCACACCGTACTGGTGTCACGCGCACTCTCTGCATGTGACGCTGACGTACGAGGACATAGTCGAGCAGGTGAGCGTGACCACTCTGTGGGTGCATCCATGCTGCTACATCACTCACACTCAGTGCAAACCTAGTGTTCGTGATCGTCGGATCATGTGTGGCACACAGTGAGAGCAGCCTGTCACCGTTCGTATTCGCTGAACCAATGCCATGCGAACCGATGACATCACGCCCAGCACGTACGTTGAAATCACCCAGCAGAAATAGTTGGTCACTCCTCGGCACAGACCGTATCACGGAGGATAGCTGAGTGTAGCATTGATCACGCGTGTCATCAGGATAACACATGGTCGGACCGTACTAGCTTATAAAGGTGGCAAACTTACCTCTTCCGAGTCCTAGACCAACAGTCATCAGTCGCACGCTGATACCTGTTGGTTCACCTTTCTGGCGGTCATTTAGGCGATCGGATATTGCAAATCCGACCCCATGTTCACGTAATGCTGAGGTGCTGTTGCCCACCCAGTAGAATGTGTAGCCAGCACCTGCTTCATGCAACTTACCTTGCTCCGCGAGCCGAGTCTTGTTGAGCACCGTAATACCGATGTTGTAGCGCGCCAGTTCCATCGTGGTCCGTGCAGTGCGTCGGTCGGGGCGCTCGCTCGTATTTCGGTCCCGTAGTGCGCACGTTCCAGAACCCAATGTTGAGTGCTTTGCGGACAGGAAAACAATTGCATTAGTGGGCAATCGCACCTGTCTTAGTGATTGTACTTCGGAGATTTGCTAAAGGGACTCCACCCGAAGCTTTCGGCTCTTTGGCCTGACCCACAAGACAATGAGTGGTTTGGTTGTTTGCTTGAGGGAATCCACCCGGAACCTTTGACTCAATAGCCTGACCCACAAGGCAGTGGTGAGCAGATCCAGCTCGGGAATGTGATTGCAGAGACAAATTGGGATCTGCTTGACGGCCGTCACACACAGCCTTTGAAGATTCAGTATTATTCTTGTTTTTTGCGACCGTAAAGGGATTCGCACCTGCGACCACGGCCAGACACAGGAGGATGTTGTCGGGTTTGCGCCAATTTGACCAGTGGGTACCTGGCTTGAGGCAGACAGTAGCAAACTCTTGAGCATCTGGAGGTGCCCTCCCATTGTCAGAGACAATGCGTGGCGCTCTTGCTCTACGCCAATCGTGCTGTGAGCTTATAACCCTCTAGACCTGTTTTTCCCATGGCTAGGTTTTATGGGAATAGCGCCATCGACCACTTCCTAACCTCCGAAGAAGATGAAGTTGGGACTACGATAGTGGTAGGGCGCTCAGACCTGACAGGAGAACGACTCGGGTCTTCAGCCAAAACCTTCGATTAAATGTACACATGAAAGGCAGCGGGTCTAGCATATGTCCAATTCACTGACACACGTGGATTGGTGTGCCTCCTGTCCCTTAGGTAGAAGAAGAGCGTAACCCAACTCCCACCCAGAAGTGGCCACGAGGAGGCGTCCAGGATCTGAGCCAACCGACACGACATTAGGAGCAGTGGGCCGACGATTTGTCAAGATTTAGCTATCACAAGCCTCAGCGCATCATGGGCTTTCTCGCCATATGTACATGGTTGGCGGCATCCTGTTTCGGATTTGCCTGTCACTATGGCCAGCCACAGGACGCCTGCATACAGATATGCCGACATAGCTCTTTAATAAATGAACACATGAAATAATTTGGTTGCCAGAATATCCGCTATAGTTTCCAAACGTAAAATAAGATATTTTAGGAAAATGCCACAAAAACGAAAACGTTACCAAAATTAACTATATATATATATATATATATATATATATATATATATATATATATATATACCGAAATCAAAAGGCATTTTCGGCACCTTTTTCAGTTTATGTTTCTTTCAAGCAAGTTATAGTAGTTAGTCAGTCTGGCGTTCATTGTTGTCGGCGACATACTGCTAACCTTCAGGCAAGCTGTCTGCGTCTGTTCTGAAAAGCGTTCTTAGTTGGCTGCCAAATTATTGGGCAAGGCGCGTTTCGTTGTAGTTGCAGCCATCGAATTTCTTTTCTTTTGTGCTATTGTACAGCGAACGAACGAGATTTTATTCTGTCGGAGCACGATCCAAGTTATATGCTGGATACATGAGAGCTTCGATACCGATCTACTGCATTTTGAGACGCGTCATCTTTGCACCACGAGGACGTGCGTTGTCATGCAGGAGAAGAATTGGGGCCGCTCTGCGACGCATTTTTCAGTGTCCTTCGACTATCTTTTTAGTTGACTGTAGACATCGGCAGTCACCGTGATATTATCAGATACTAATTCCCAATAGGGGACACCGCGACGATCCCGCCAGACAGACAGCATCAATTTTTGCAGTGCAGATCGCCTTTCGGGGCTTATACTGGCGTTTCCTCTGCTGCGGTCCACTGACGCTTCCTGCAATGATTAACCTGGATCACCCACTTCTTGTCTGCAGTAACGACATCTTTCAGCCATCGTTGATTACGTCCTCGAGTGAGCAATGGAACTACGATGACACAAGCATTCAAAGGCTGCTCATCAGTCAGTTCGTGTGATACAAGCTACCTGAGCTTTGGGACTATTCCGTATTGGCGCAGATGGCGATGAACGGTGGTTTTTGGAAGTTCAGTGTGTGACGGAACTTCGTGTATACTTTGTCTCGGATCCTTTTTCATAGCGTCCTGGATGTTGTTGACAATGTCCGCTAGCTTGTATCCTTGACCTACGATATGTAGCAATTCGCGGCTCCCTACTTTGAACTGGCGGAATCAAAATGCCGCCATACTGTAACTTGTGGCATCCGTGCCCAGCATGTCACGCAGGTTTTGACAAGTTTCGGCTGCTTTGCGCCCTTGTAGGAAATCGTTCAACAAACATCCGTGAACGCCATGTTCATAATTTGCCAATACCACAGCCACTGCTGAAATATGGAATAATTGGACAATGTAGGCCTAGTGTGTTCCCTTATATACCCATATTGACGAATCTTCGAGAAACTTCCAGCAAATTCTGAAATGGTGCCGAAAAATGTTTACTTGATTTTGAGACAGCAAAAGAACTGGCTTATGTAGCTGATATACGCTGGTCAACTTTGTTACAACAATACTATCGAAGAAAGCATGTCTCTGGTTCGCAGTTAGCTCATTCAGGGCCCGAGTCGTTTCATTTCCGTGTTACTATGACTTAAGTCACACACGAGTCAAACTTTAACCAGTGCCGGCCCATGGCCTTAAGGATCACAAACCTGTCTTCTAATCCGAGGGCGCGGGTTCGAGCTTGCGTGGGGACCGGGCGACCTTCGCTGCATCCTTAGCCCACGTGCGACTGGCGATGGTTGCGCGGCAGTGAAGCGTCGGTATCACCTACCGGACTACTGCTGATGTATCTTTCTAATCAGTTACACCACGTATTTTAGCACCATATGACACCAAATCCTTCGATCTCGGCACTGTAACTTTCGGTTTACCGAGCCCGTTATTTCTATAGGCTGCGATGCTCCCAATTCCAAATCCTCTTACTCTTTGAAGACCATTTTCCATTTCATTAGAAACACTTACGTTTCCTTCTATGGTAGCCGATTCAGAGCAGCATCGTCGAGTAGGAGTATGTTATTATCACGTTTCCGCGTGCATCATTTGGTCCTACCTAGACCAGTCTTCGTTACCCCATGGCGTCAACTGTTGGTTCTCACCAAGGCTACATTCGACATTTGAGTCGGTAAGGACCTCTTCAAGCTACCTTTTTTGGTACCTCCACCACACTAGCCACGGATACGTATGTCTTCGGCGCTAACCGCCACACTTTACTGCCTCGCCGTCGAATTCGTCGGTTTCTGTCACGACTTCATTTTTAGGTTTCCTGCGATGAACATGGCAGACCAGTCTCCAACTGCTTCTTTTCTAGAGGCCAAATCCAATGTGCATTGAATTTTGTCATCTACAACTCCATCTAAATATCTTATGATGAAACATCCTGCGCTGCTTGCACAGAACCAGCCACTTTATATGCTTCTAAATCATCTTCCAACTCAGTGTTTCGGGAAACTCAGTCTGTTTTCGGTGGTTTTTACTATTTTGATTTGCGTATCGCTGGTGAATGTACGGCTTTGATGTTACAGCTTTCAGATTTGACCTCTCATGAGATATTAAAATGGGTCCGCTCATTATGAACACCGATCTTTTTATCTCACCTTCCAGCTTCCGTCCATTATTTCTGCTAATGCAACAATCATGTTGCAGTCGTTAGCAATTGACAGCAATACGCATTAGTGCAAACTCTTTGATGGTACCATGGCGTTGTATTTGTTTGCATGTCGATGTTCTTTTACTCTGAATGTTTGATTTGGTGTGTTCGAGTGACACAAGCGGCCGGTGACTAAAGAAATGAAGTAGCTATTTTATAACCCAAAAGTCACCGGTTCGAATCTGCATAGGTGCGACCTCGCGGTTTCTCTAACTCGAGTACAACTGTTGGTAGTCCCATGGAAGCGAAGCATTGGTACGGCACACCGACGCGCTGATTATGTCTTCTGTCTGTTGTGAAACAGCACATGTACTCAACTCTCGGCTTGGTGGCCCGATTCTGACTGCGGTTAGTTACACTAGATAGGCATATGAGCCTTGCTTGATGTCTTACATCAGTCAGGCTGCCATCACGCATTCGTAAAACCACCAGACGGCTGTTCCCTCCCTTCGGAAATCGTTAGCAGTACGCACTCCATCTTTCTCCCATTGGGCTAGAACTCTCGATTCTGTCACTACGAGTCCATGGCTAAGGCCACTTGAACACGAAGAACAGTATCAGCCGACACGACTAAGCTACTGCAAATGATATGGCGTAATTCGCTCTCCATCAACCCGCACGTTGCTGCCCTGCAGAGGATATCATTGTCCCATCCCTAGAGTAACGATTTCCCAGGCATCGTATCGATCGTTTAATTTTCCTGGGGTCCTAACCATAGACCCTTAAGAATACAATCGCTGATTATTGTCCCGCAGATTGAATGCGTACTGCTAAACATTCTCGTAGGGATGAAACGACCAGCTAGTATTCTCTCCCATGTGTGATGGCCGCCTCATTGTGCTAAATTCAGTTTAGACCCCAAATTAATTAAGTAAACCAGTTTTTTACAATGCAATTTGTATTCAGACGTTGTGGTCATTGTTGCCCCGTCGAAATACCACTGCTCCCTTGGTGATTCTTATCTTTTCTGTCCACATTCCTTGTGTAAACTTCGTTCCCTCCATTTACGAGCGAATTAATGGCTGTCTCTATTTTTTCTCTTATCAGCTACTTTCGCCCGCTGTTTCCGAACACCCCATATCTCGCCTTCTTGTTGGCCCTCCACTCTTCATCTCTTGGCTGCTCTTGACCCGCTACCTGCTTTGCCGGATCGATTTGAACCAAGGTGGTATGGTAACTGGCTTTTTCTACAACCTTCTGCTTTTGTATCTGTAAGTTTCACCCTACTTACCAATTCTGCTCACGATCAGTAAACCTACTTTCATTTCAATCTGGCAGTTTTGTGTTACGACCCTGAAATCGTCTTTTTGTAGGCCCCTTGTTGGACTTTTTGTCTATCATCGGACGCGGCTGCTACAGATTTTAAACGTCTCCTCTTCACTGCACTCCCAACGTAGCCCATTATCTCAGTTGATATTGACGTCCATCTGTGACTTCTTTGAAATTTGGGCCAAGGTAAACTCTATATTTCTCCACCTCCATGCCAGTTGAAACGCTCTTTATTCAGGTTGTACGAATTAATCACCGATTGGCCCGCACTTGCTCCGACCAGCACTCTTTTCCCAATACGTTATCACAGCATTTCCGTTCATTCTTCTATGATGGAGGCGAGTAAACACTTCACAGAAATTGTCCATTACACTGTTGATCCGCACGCGAAAACTCTTCGACTCGTTCGTCATCAATGTCCAGTCAATGGCTGCGATCAGATCCGAGACGAGGTGGAACTCTACCGTCACGATTTCAACTCACGCCTCATGGATGTGTTTTTTGGCTCTTCCTACACAATGTACTATGGATGTCTGGTGCCTTTGTTATTGGTGAAGGTGAGTGTTCGTCTTCAAAGTTACCGAATCGATCATTGGCTTGTCCGTTTGGTTTGAAATCGTACGGTCACTTTCTTGGTGCCCGTCTCAGTGAAGCCCAAATTACCGACCAGCTTGTGATAGTTCTAATTGTATGCCCATTGCACCGCCTTCCTCAGTATGCATTATACCTTGCAGCTACAGCTAGTTGGGCAAAACCGCGAACTATCCAGTCAATAGCGTGACATAAAAGCGTGAAGAAATCGATCGAGCATCTTGGCCAGGCTGGTTCGTGAGTGAGTTCTTCGGAATGGTCAATATCAGTGGTTCGTGCAATCCCACAGTCAGTGGCGCTCCTGCACTCGGTTTCCGTCTCAACGATTTCTTTCCGCGTTTCAGCAGCTTTGTGGTTTTGCTTGCGTCCTACCTCATTTTCTTCACCGCTTATTGTTATCCTGGAAATACAAGTCACGGCAGGTGGATCCACCTCGTTTCGGTGCCCAAGATTACGGTTGTGTAACTGAACTAAACTGGTATTTTGGCTCAATTGTTCTCACGTTTTGGGGAACCCCTTCTCCAGCATCCATTTTTGTATTAACCTGCCACAGTAACCCTTGACAGCCACAGGGCGCTTATGTCTGTTGATTGACCATGGGCATCACCCGCAGCCGCGTCAGCCAAAAAGTAGTTTGGGATGCATGCGACTGACAGCCAGAGCTGTTTCGAAATCAGCCCATTCTCCACCAACAAGCATGCCTCTGGTTGTGTGTGCTCCAGGGTCCCAACAAATTCCATACATTCCAACTTCAGTGTACCCCTCGAGGACACATGCTTCTTATGCGCTTTCAATTCATGCTGGCTCGGTTTCTCCTATTCGCTCATTCTTATTGCAGTACTTGGGACGCATGGCCGGATCGTTACCGTTTCCTTACAGGAACCACGTATTGAGCCTGTCGCTGTCACGAAAGGTATTCGCTCTACTCCCATCAACGGTTAACTGTCCCTTAGACCCAGTAAGCGGGATGGCGGCATCGAATTGACAGTCACTTCATCAGCACTTGCCTCGCTCACAGCTATACCTGGTATGTCACGCGGCAATAACCGTTTCAGATACGAGGGTAAAGCAATAAGTTTCCGGATGCACAAAAAGTTTTATATTTTACGCAAACTAAACATTACGTTTTCTTGAAATACTCTCCATCAGCGTTCATGCACAGTTCTATGCGCTCAAACTAATTTGAAGAGCAGCTAGACCATGCCGAAGTGGGTAACCGTTCAAGCAGCTCAATAACGGCCTCCACTGCAGCTCCTGAGGACTCGTAGTAGATTCCACGCATCATGAGGTTGACATTTGGGAACACAGACGTCACAGTGAGTCAGGTCTGGACTGTAAGGTGGGTGACCAACCTCCTGGATGCGTTCCCCAGCAAGAAAATCTACGACGACGTGACCTGTGTGCATATGCGCTGTCTTGGTGCAGTAAGGTCCCTCGTGCTTGAGTCCTTGGAAGATGCCTGGCTACAGTTTCCAGCACTTGTGGCAGACGGTGGGTGGTATACCAGTCTCTGGTGACTGTGCGTTGCCATACGAGCGGTACAGTAGCCACATGACCGGTCTTGGCTACGAACACAGCCACCATCTGCTCGGCTACACTGCGCTCACGCCGGAATTTCTTAAGCAGCGCCCCACTAATGTCCGTCCTCCTCCAATATCGCTTGCGCAACATCAACATTGTCCGCCGTGGTGGTCTCCATCATCATCATTATACACATTAGCTAGATGTGGAAAACACCTCAGCTACTGTGTCACTACTTTGTCCTCCACAGGTCGACCACATTGTACCTCATCATCTAGGGACCGCCTGCCACGTTTGAATTCCGCAAACCACTTAAACACGGTGGTTTTTAAAGGCGCATCATCACCAAACGCAGCATGCAATCGCTTAACACTCTGGTGCTGCTTTAAACCAAATTTGTAGTCATAAAAAATCTCCCTCCAGTAACATCGACTGAGTTCCATACTTACAGTCAGAGTATAGCGACCCTTATGACTTGTGAGCTGTGTTGGGCTGCTGATATAGGGTTCTGTGAGTTGAAATCACTGAACAATGTTCAGAATGGATTACAGTTCACATTTTTCTTGCCAGGTCATCTGCACCTAATCTGTGCACTGCGTATCCGGTAACTTATTGCTCTGCCCTCGTACGTGCGGTCACTCATTTACAGTGAAACTGCAGCGGCGAAGCACAGTAGCTACTGCGTCAAACCGAGCACCGCCGGCACACGCACGGCGATGGGCATGTCGCACTGTTCCCGAGAGGCACGCAGCGGGTGACCACCCTGACTTCCAACTTTACACACGAACCAATAAATAAATGTTGCCAAGCAGTTTCTAGCGATTCTTAGACATTCGATTACATCACAATGCGCCAATGTTATCCTTCGACGAGATCGCTTTCTTAACTTTGGTCAACCTGCAACTTTCAGACGAAATCATCACGTGTCGCCTAACTAATCGTGAGGAAACAACCGAGAGTATTTGTATGCTTCTTGGTCTTTGCGTCGCCACCTACTCCAAACTCAGTGGACAAACCTATGAACAAGTGAAAGGATCATCAGTGGCATCCCCCGTATCAAGACTCACTAGAGAGATTGCGAAGCAGAAGTTAGAGTTGTATCTACTCTCAGTAGTCAACCCAAAGTTTTAGTTTCGATTGATATGTAGCAACCGCAAGTCTGTTGCTGAATGATGTCATGGACGATCTCCAATCCACAATGGGATCGGCGATGAAGGCAGATCGGTGGCCGAAAACATGAGGTACCTGCTTTGTCATCCAAAGGTCATCGGTTCGAATCTGCGTAGGTGCGGACAGCCTCACAGTATACACAATCCACTCGCAAGGAGTAGTGCTCGTGTAGCAGCGAAATGTCGGAGCGGTACGTCAGTCACTGCTGGAGTTATGCCTTTTCTTGGGTCTGCTAGTCACCAGATCGATGGAGAAAAAACCATACACACCAGCCTGCCGAAAAGGCACACACGTTGATCTAATCCTCAACTACTACAGCAATCACCCGGTGTCACAGGATACTTCAGAACCATGACATATTTCTTCCTAGTAAAAATAAACTGGAAGAGAAACAAGTATTCAGACTATTTATACCGAACGGATTTCCACGCGGTTTTTTGCGGTCACTTCTGAATCACAGAACAACCCTCAGTAACAACGGAACGAGTTGTTCAACCTTACATGAAGAACAAGCCGGCCTTAGGATTCCCAAGTCGACCTTATAATCCGAGGGTGCAAGTTCGAGCCTGCGTAAGTACCGGGCTACTGTCGCAGTACCTTTAACCGACAACTGGTGTTGGTTGCACGGCAACGAAGCATCGGTACTGCGTACCGGCTTACAGCTGATGGCTTCTTCTTACATTAAGAACACAGCTGCTATGCTCAAACAATGCGGACTTGCAATTCCTCACAAACCATCTACCATTCGCAGCAAAGAGTACCCCAAACCCACAGGTAAGCGGGAAGCTTGCGAACGATAAAATCTTGCGTCGGAGATACTATGTCAACTTTACAACATGGATTATGAGGGTCAGTCAGGAAGGAAACTGTCAACAAGGGCACAGGAGCACGAAGTTGCGTGCAATAGCAAGCATACTCGCTCCTGTTTCCGTTCATTAGAACAAACTAGATATTTCCTCAACTGAACCAAAACTGCAATCCTGCTACACTAGGAAATGGGAAAAGAAACTATTTTCCTCCAAGCATATTTCTCCACAGAAACTTTTGTTAGCATGTCCTTCGATATTGATCCAGTATACCGAACGCGCAGCTTGAAAAGTATCAGATAGTTCAAAAATCCTGCGTTCGGCCCAACAGCTCAGCAGCAGGACAACGAACAAAACGGTTCAAGTAATCCTTTTCCACAGATCACACGCCTTTTGCAATAACGGAATTGCGATCGACCATTCTGCGTCGTGACAATATTGGTTCGGCCAATTATTGCCGCTTAGTTCTAACAGGGAACTGCAGTGCGCAACCAGTCCGGATGACACGTTTGGGAACACCCGAAATGTATATGACAATTATCACTCACAAAGAACACTACCCTCATCGTCATCAACATTAGTACACCAGCCAGTCGAACGGATGCTTCGCTGCCGTACAACCACAATGACCTACGGAACTAAGAATAATTAGAAGAACAGAAAGGGACCTAGCGTGAAACTTTAGTGGCCTAAGCAAGCATTCAGAATCAAGGCGCCTACATCTTGTCAACAGCATACATTCACAAACATTTGGCTATCGTGCAACGATAAGGCAGCATCGGTGAGACGGCTTCCTTGCGACTTTCACTGCCCCGTGTCACAATCGGCCCTTACACTGCAGCTAACAACATCAGACGTACTACAAACAGTTGGTTCGACTAGGAGACGACAAAAGACGTGACACTGGTACCGACTGCAAGCCATATGCTGTGAAGTCTCGAGCCAGGCACAGGGTGGAACACGCGGACTCCAGTATGCAAAGTGAGACGGACCCACAGCATCCAGTTTTGTGGTTAGTGACCTTTCTTCCCGACGCGAACTTAACTGTTGCCCGCCTAGAGCCTTGCACAATCCTGCATCTGACAAACAGAACAAAGCCCTCTCAGTGAGCGATGACCGGGCGTGCGCGGCTCATGCCTAAGCCAATGCAATTTATTCAGTGCCATCTGTTGCTCTAAGGGATTAGCCTGATTATCACTGCCTAGCATTTGGCTATGCATATCATCGTTGCGGACACGCTGGGGCCGTCCGACACCAGCAGTGGTTCGCAAGCAGTGATGCTCAATGACTTGAAGGCACCTCAGACCGAAGGGGCTGTCTCACTCCCATAGGGTGGACGACCCTCACTGTGACCTTTCAGACCGAGAGGAGCTCCCTTCTGACGCCCCATATGTCGCAGATCCAAAAGAACAGTTTTAGCTTTTGCAATGCGTGAACTGACTTCAATGTTATGCGCCCATCGTTGCTGATACAGTTGCCAAGGTAGGTGAATTGGTCAACTATTTCGAGTTCCTCGCTATCAATAGTCAAGGACTCATCAAGTGACTGATGGTCGTGCAACAACACTACGCACTGCTGACATGTTGTTTGATGATGAAACGTTTGCAGCCCGGTTATCAAGCTTACCGAACACATGAACACCCAACTAATTGATAAATGTAATGAGGGATCAACTTATTCAGCCTACGTTTACACTTCCTATGCATGAAGTACACATTCAGTGGTCCATGTTAAAATGGACTTCGGTTGTAATCTGCTAGATTCGTAAATGGAACAGGTGATCCTATGGTTTACTGTTTGCTCAGCCTCTCAGTTTTCACATGATGTATCACTTGCTATGTCCCAGCTAAATCAACCCGACGCGGCGTCTATGCACAATCGACGTCCAGGAACACGAAAGGTCATCACTTGAACCGGACCAGTCTTTGAGGCGATGAACCCACATTCTTGTGACCAAGCCGGATGCTGCCTAGTCTGCATTCCCACTTCCGCTCCTCGTACAGGTTGTATTTATACCATCTTGATGTTTGTCTGCAGACAGTCTTTTACACAATTGCCAGGAGACATATAAAAGGGGGGTGTTTGAATTAGTTATACATGAATGGGTTACTGCAGTCATGCGTCAAATGTAGCCTTCTGCATGCTGACTGATTAGATGTGTTAACGGTATGTTCCGCCTACGATGGCTGTTTTATGTCCTCTTAACTATGAGCTAGCCTCTATTCGTCGAATCTTGTATCGCTCCAGCTATGCCCTTCACTTGTTAGTTGCTTACTGGCACCTGAGAGACATTTTCATGCATTGCTGAATCACTGGGCGAGTCTACCGGGTTGTGCCTTGTATCAGAGTTTTTGATCTTGTGCTGAATTTTTTGGTCTCTATGCACCTCCTATGTGTGTAGGCGCATGCTCTTCGCACATCTAGTACGCTCCTTCATCAATATGTCTTGTGTGCATCGATCGCATTTGTTTAGCTGAAACACCAGATTGATCGGTTGGTGGTATGTTGAATGGACATGAGCGGGTCTATGGAACGGCTGAATCGCCACTCTGAATAGAGGCCATGGGGTAGTTCACATCGGCGATTGGAAATCTTTGTGGACAGTCGGGGCCGAGGAGCCAGTAACACGCAGTTATTCTTTCATTGCGAACTATTGGCTCCTCGTTATCACGATTTGAGTGATTTGAATTATCCACTTGTTTCTCTCTCTTCTCACTGCTTTGTTTTGCTTCGCCATCGTTATCGTCACTTTTCATCGTAACTAAAGTCTTGGCACCCCCGCCCGTCCACTTCGGTGTTTAAGTCACTATTAACAAACCGAACCCTTTCTGTTTGTCAGTTGCGGTCACTCGTGGACGTGGGAATTACCTAAGTACTGTCTTCATTTGAACGGTAACTCACAGCTGGCCATTAACCACTGGAAACTAGTCTCTTAGAGCCACGAACTGGTACCTTCGTCTGTACCGTACTTCCGTTCTATACCTCTATTTTATTTTCTATTCACAGTTTATTTTAATGGCCATAATTACCATAATTGCGTGCTAAAACTGTGTCCCGCTCCGTTGGCTTCGCTGGACGCTGTTGATTTACCGTCATGTGTTACGGTTGTCAGACCCTTTTCTCCTAAACACTTAGGTCCTGAATATATGTGATTATCTCAGCGCAGCAGAGAAAGTGTAGAGTTGTGACTCAGTATATCATTAACTCTAACTAGTTATCTCTTCTGATCTTACTCATCGCCGAGCTCAATAACGTGCGTTAGTTCCGTTTAACAAGATGCCTTTCCCACTCCGAACTGTCAAGAAGCTTGTGTCGATCTGACCCCGTTAACTCGCCTAGCTCACTTAGTGCATTTATTCTAAGGTATCTTGTGCAAGAAGTAACGGAATTATGTGTCTCCACTGTGCAACAGATCAATTATGAGCCCATTGCTTGCCATCGGGCAGCGTATCGAACTGGTCACCAAGGCCCAATGTACCAATCCTTTGTACATATTACCCACGTAGCCGGTTTATTCATTTATTGTCTGTCATTTGAGGTTACTTTTCATATACCCCCTCGAATTCCCTTGCTACTTTGCTGGATATTATCGGTTTGGCGCCGCTGAAGAGGCCATTGATGGCCGTTTATTGTCGGTGTTTCCCTGTTCATCGCCCCTTCTCGGTGGTCGGCACTACGTTATCGTTATCCTACTTCTACCATAGATGCCCTACGAATTTATACGGGAATCACTTGATATTAACTCATTGATTCCATTCAGGTTCATCTTGCATCTTCTCGGGCCACTCCGTTCTTGAGTCCTGGTTGATGTTTTCCGGGTACATCACGTTTTTGTAACGAAGACTTTCCGAGCGGTTTTTCGTAATCAGTTGTGATTGGTGTTATCTTCCACCAATCTCTGCATACTTACCCATTGCGATCACACCGGTCCGCCGCAGCCCGTATCCCAACTACAATTCTCAATGTTTGCCTAGCTCTACTCTCGATACAATTTGGACCTCGTTTTCGCTTTTTTCAAACATATTGCTACCGCTCGTGTATTGTATTTATGGAAATACAAGAACGCAAGTTTGCGAAGAGCACTCTTTTCGACAAATCTCTTCAGGCATTTACAACCATAAAACGAAATGTTAGAGTGCAGTAAAGGGAATATGAAATCACAACAGTCAGGAACAAACGTTGTACCACCATCTATCACTTCGTGTGCTGACTATGATCGCGGATGATGCGCTTGACATTTCACCGATCAGCCAGCACGTGACCTGTCACCTAAGAGGATAGCCGACTTTACTGAGCAAAACATTTGAGTTTCTGACTGTCGTGATTTCACTATTCCCCTTTTTTTTGCTTCTTCAACTGTTTATGCTCTAACATTCCGTTTTATAATTGTAAATGCCTGAGGAGATTTGTCGAAAAGAGTACTCCTCGCAAACTTCCGATATTACTATCAGGATATTCCGAATTTGGCCCGTTCTACATACTTATTTGCCTTCCCCACGACGGACATCGTTATGCCATGTCGTCTTGGTATGCTGTGTGGGATCAACAGACTACATAACACACAAAACGTTAGCTATTCGAGGTAATATGTGTATATTAGTGGTTTAGAAATTTCTGAACTTATTCGAGTCATCGGGCAGTTGCACCGTAAGAATTCTCCTTTAAAACTTCTGAATTGTTTCTTTGTATTTGGAAGGCGTTGCATTCCTGCTGATTTGACTGGTCTACGCAATTCATTCTATCCCTCCGTGTTTCCCTTTACAGCCATCGCGTCTATTCTCTGATCTTTCCTGGTGCCTGCAACACAGTCTCTTCACCTGGACTACCGCATTTTTACTGCATTGGCACCACTACATACCCTCGGATTACTTGGACATATTGCACCAAAGTGCCCTCCATTTAGGTGCCTGGCGCCCCTGTAGCCTATCCGTGCGGTCAACAGCTTTACAGGCATGGTCTCCTCTCAAGGTTAGTCGCGTGACATGTTTCAGGGGCCGCTTTTTGTCGGACATATCTAACCTGTTAGGGCGTTTTGTCTTCATCTATCCTCCACTCATAGTGCTGGTTTATTGCGAGAACGCCGCTGGGTCATCTTGACTTTACGACGTAATCAAACCCCATCGGATCACTTCATTCGAACGATGGCGCCGATTGCAAAGAGCAAGCTTCATTAGGGACGGCCCGGTACAGTTTAAACTCGCCCAAGATAGTCTTCACTCTTTGCAGAACTGGGGGCGAATCTTGAACCGTTTGTCCGCTCTTAAACGTTTCAAATGAGCTGAGCCCCCATAGGACACTGGCGTCAGGTCTTCTAATTTTGGTGATGTCAAATTTGAATCATGCGCCTTGGCTAGACGACTTCCTCCTCTTTTACTGACAGTTTAGAGTACAGGTCAATGACCACCTGACAGACTGGTTCCCATCGACTAGTGGCGTGCCTCAAGGAACTGTACTTGGGCCAGTATTATTTTTATTCATATCAACGATCTTCCGCAGCAGCTCCAGTCACCATGTGCCCTGTTTGCAGATGATTTGAAAATCTGGAGGATCATTGAGAACCAGGACGGCTGCGCTCGCCTTCAGCATGACTTAGAGCGACTGTCAACGTGGTCCACTGAAATGCAGCTCCCTCTTAACGCAAGCAAGTCGGAGTTCATCAGTATCACCAGACGTGCAGCCACTCGATCATACACCTTGGACGGCCAGTTGCTCTATCCCAACACATCTGTCAGAGACTTAGGAGTTCTCTCACGACATGATTTGAGATCACTAGAAAATACAGAGCAATTGTACCGTGCGGGACTTCGTATGCTCTGGGCATTAAGACGCAGTTTCTCCACATGGTCCGAAGAAACCGTCCTTCGTCTATTTACCTCACTCATTAGACCAATCCTTGAATACTTTGCCCCAGCTTACCATCCGATAACCCTATGGGAAACTGAAAAGCTGGAGAAAATACAGCATATCGCATCTAGAATGATACCGAGCCTACAAAAGCTTCCGTATGAAAAACGTTGTGAAAGGCTCGGACTCTACACACTATCCTATCACCGAGTAAGAATTGGCCTTATTATGACCCATTGGGTACTACAATTAAACCACTTCACCATACTGCGACTAATATTTCACCTGCGGGAACCCTGTAACACCCGAGGACACCGTTACAAACTCAGGGTCCCCAGCATGAACAAAGTATCACATCAGCTTTGTATCGAACGAAGAATCGTAAACTTATGGAATACACTACCCGAAGGATTAATAGAGGTCGATTCTGTGAAGAGTTTTAAATCCCGTTTCGACGGTTATTTCAGAAAACTGTGCTTTTGTCAAACAATCCCCATACAATGCCAAAAGAATACATTTTATGCCCGGAAATAATGACACCAGTACAAATTCCTAACCGAACAAGGATAAACAATTAATGGACAAGACACAACTGCTGATGATTCACAACTAAATGTTTTTGATTTTTCGTAATTCGATAGAGTTGTACGGAAACCTTTCTACTTGCTCTTAAATACAGTCTCAGTCTCAGATGGTTGTGATCTTGCTTGTAGACTCTTGTACAACACACTTTATGCGACACTACAGAGTGGCCCTTGGTCTGGCAGTCTTAAGTCACATTCCCCGACTTTATATGCAGTTAACTCCTAATTCCTAATTGGCGGAGTACTTTAGTACTATCCCGCCTAAAGGCAGGAAAGCACATGGTGCACTGAGGCTGTGGGTGGCTTGATCCCGACGGATGGTCTACCCACTGCTGCTACTGTTGTGCCATGGGCTCATGTCCTGGACGCCTCCTCATAGCGACCACTGGTAGCGAGTTGAGTTACGCCCTTCTCCCTGCTAAGATCCAGGACACCAATCCGCATGAGTCAGTGAACTGACCATGTGCTAGACCCGCTGCCTTTCGGGTGTACATTTAATCGAAGGCTTTGGCTGAGGACCCGAGTCGTTCTCTTGTCATGTGTGGGCGCCCTGGCAGTATCCTAGTGATCCTCTTCGGAGGTTAGGAAGTGGTCGATGGCCCTCTTCCCGTAAAACTTAGCCATGGGAGACAACAGGTCTACGAGTTATAAGCTCACAGCTCGATTGGCGTAGAGCACGAGCTCCACGCATTTTCTCTGACGGTGGGAGGGCACCTCTGGGTGTTCAATGGTTTGCTACTGCCCACCTTAAGCCAGGCATCCCCTGATCAAATTGGTGCAAACCCGCCAAAACCCACCTGCGTCTGGCCGTGGTCGCAGGTGCGTTTTTTAATACGGGCGCAAAACATATATGAATCATTCCAGTACCTCCAAGGCCGCGTGTGAAGGCCGTCAAGCAGATCCCCATCTGTCTCTGCAATCACATTCCCGAGCTGGATCTGCTCCCCACTGCCTTGTGGGTCAGGCTATTGAGCCCAAGGCTCCGGGTGGAGTGCCTCAAGCAAACCTCCAAACAACCCACTGCATTGTGCGCCAGGCTATTGAGCCAAAGGCTCCGGTCGGAGTCTCTCAAGCTAACCTCCAAATTACCCACTGCCTTGTGGATCAGGCTATTAAGCCCAAGGCACCGGGTGGATTTCCTCAAGCAAACCTTCGAAGCACAACCACCACTTCGCGTGCGATTGCCCACCAATGCAATCGTATAACTGCGCACAAAGCACTCACCATCGGGTGATGGAACGTGCGCACACTACTGGACCGGAACTCCAGTGAGCGCCTCGAGCGACGCACTGCACTCGTCGGGATGGAACTGGCGCGCTACCACATGGATATGGCGGCGTTCAGTGAACCCGGCTCGCTGAGCAACGTAAGTTGCATGAAGCGGGTGCTGGCTACACATTCTACTGGGTGAACGACGTCGTCTCAGCACCACATGAACATGGGGTCGGATTTGCAATATATAATCGCCTAAATGGCCAGCTAGTGGAGGAACCAACAGGCATCAGCGCGCGATTGATGACTGTTCGCCTACGACTCCGAAGAGGTAAGTTTGCCACTTTTATAAGCACCTGCGGTCCGACCATGTCTTATCCTGATGACACGCGTGGTCAATTCTACACTGAGCTATCCTCCGTGATACGGTCTGTGCCGAGGAACGACCGACTATTTCTGCTGGGTGATTTCAACGCGCGCGTTGGGCGTGATACATCGGTGTGGAAAGATGTTATCGGTCCGCATGGCATTGGCTCAGCGAATGCGAACGGTGACAGGCTGCTCTCACTGTGTGTCACTCACGGCCTGACGATCACGAACACTCGGTTCGCTCTGAGTGCGAGTGGTATAGCAACTTGGACGCACCCACGAAGTAATCACGCTCACCTGCTCGACTATGTCATCGTACGTCAGCGTGATATGCGTGAAGTGCACATGACACGTGTACTGCGTGGAGCTGAGTGTGGCACTGATCACAAATTGGTGCGGACCAAACTGTACATATATTTTCGTAAATGTATGTTTTGCACTCCTACCGTGAATCGGCATAAATTTACCATTCTCTCGGTACTGTGGCGAGACGTATTGAGCCGGAGAAGGCGATGGCTGCACGCCTGGGTAATGTGGACTGCATAACCACAGTGGGCGACCTGTGGCACCACATTCGCGGCCAGGTGACAGCTGCTGCAGAGGAGACCATCGGGCACGCAAACTGTAAGCTGCCTGATTGGTTTGATGACGACAATGCGACGATCGGCGCATTGGTGTCGGGGAGGAATGCAGCATATGCTGCACATGTCGCAGACCCCGATGACTTGGAGAAGAATAATCACTTTCCCAAACTTTGACGGCGACTGGCCCGAGAGCTCCATGGCATTAAAAATGCATGGTGGACGAAGAAGGCGAAGCAGATGGAATGCTACGCCGAACGCCGCCAACACAAGGAATTCTTTGACACCTTGAAGGCGGTGTATGGACCGAGATTGGAGCCGCTGAGGACGCTGATCGATGGTATTTCAGGCGTTACCTGCACACGGACTGCAGACATAATGCAGATCTGGCGAAAACACTTTGTCTCTTGAACAACCGTTCAGAGATCGACTGGCCTACATTGAACGGCTTGAAGCAGTACGATGTGAAAGCGAATCTGGCGGACACGCCGACACTGGATGTGAAGCAGAGAGCACTTGCTCAGCTGCGGAACGGCAAGTGTGCCTGTGCCGACGGGATCCTGCCTGAAGTATTGAAACACGGCGGAGCCGCGTTGTTGACTGAGCTGCACCACTTGGTGCAACGCGTATGGATTGAAGAGGAGGTACCTCCTGAACTGAAGGATGCCCTTGTGCTACCACTGTACAAGAGCAAAGGGAGCAATCAATGTTGCACGAATTATCGTGGCATCAACTTGCTGAGTTGTGTGGGCAAGGTGATTGCCCGAATCCTGCTCAACCGCCTCGTCAGTCAGGTTGTGGAACCTAACGTGGCGGAAGAGCAGTGTAGATTCCGTTCGAGTCGCAGCACTATAGATATGGTGTTTGCGGCCCGTCAGTTGCAGGAAAGTTAGAGAACGACACCAGCTATTGTATTCACTTTTTGTTGATTTTACCAAGGCATTTGATACGGTGAACCGCGAGGCATTGTGACTGATCTTGGGTAAGTTTGGTTGCCTGCGTATGTTTGTAAGTCTAATTGAATGTCTGCACAGTGGTATGCGAGCGAGGGTGGAGCTGAATGGATAGACCTCAGATGACTTTGCAGTTGTCTCTGGTGTGAAGCAAGGCTGTGTCTTAGCTCCTGCCCTGTTTAATATCTATCTTCATGCAATGTTGTCTTGTGCTTTTGATGCGGCTTGTGCTTACGGTGTTCGTGTGGAGCACCGTATGGATGGTGGGTTGCTGAACATCCGTCGTTTCGGTGCGAGGACCCTAGCCTGTGAGACAACTATTCTTATGTTGCTGTTTGCTGACGACTGTGCGTTGTTTGCCCACAGCCCCGGATGAGTTGAAGCACATGACTAGTGCTCTGGCTTCGACAGCGGCCAAATTCGGGCTCACCATCAACACAAGCAAAACTGTTTGTCTCTTTCAGCCTTCACCGGAGGTGGAATCTTCAGTATTGCTGCAAACCAGCATTTTTGCTAAAGTATTAGAAACCACCTCCCGCTTTTGCTACCTTAAG